TACAGTTTGGCGTGTTTTCTGGGCATTTTATACTGTATGCCGTATTTACTTTATATTGATAAGCAATTAGCCGGTTTGTTTATAGCAGTTAGCCAAAATGTTATTACATCTTCACCCGAGTGGATTACAGCCCTTTGTCAAGCCACTGCTGGATGAAGGCTTCGTATTGGTTATGTGCAAGGGGTCGACAAAAAAAACCTTCAATATTTCAAGAGCCGCAATGCACGTAGATACGAGACGATGGTCCTTAATAAAATAACGTCACGAGGAAGCAGTCCTCATAAAGAGCCACAGCATGCGGCTCCGGTGGCTCGGGTTTTGCCGACCCCTTGGTCACGGGGGTTCGCTTGAACAAACTCCCACCACACTGGTCAATGCGAGTCGGTCTCCACTCATGTTAGCCGTGGCGATAAATTACACTTCAGTTTGCCGAGCGTACAGCACAGTGCGACAGCGACTCACATTTATGCCTAGCTTAAGCCAGATTGCCTGGGAGGAAATGGGTATGGTTTTCGACCGACTCGCTTTTGCTTACCACTGAGCACCCTATGACCTCCAAGTAAACTATTAAACATTTTTTTTAGTTTACCAGGAAAAGCCCACTGTGGTTTATAGCACTTTTTCAGAAACGATCTGGCCAGAAATGATAGCTCAACGAAGTCGCTTCTCATCACGTGGACATTTATAGCAGCCAAATACTCTAAAAGGTTATGTTTGTAAATGTGGAGGGAAGAACTGGAGGACCTGAAGAAAAATAGATGCGATCACGGGGAGAGAAAGAGACATGCAAACTCCAAATATACATATTCTATGGTTCTTTTGGTAAATTCACGTAGATAGAAAAAATAATAACAATAAAATAATAAAACTACAAATGAAAATTAAGTTAATAATAATACAAAATATAATATCACCGTAATTTTTATTTTTTATTCACTACGTGACTTTACCGAAAGAACCATAGAATATGAATTCTTGTAGTCACAAAATTTGTCAGTAAAAATCCAAATATACAGGCAGGCATTAGGGTCGGGATTGAACCCAGGACTCGTCGAAGGAGTTCCATCTCGCCACTGTGTACCCTCATCACAGTCCCCCGAAGACCCAAGAAAATAGAAACTAAGTTGGGAAACCCTAGAATCTTGTAGCATATATGGCTTTATTTGAGGCCTTTGTTCATAGAAATGAAAACATCTGATAATAGTCAATACTGTTTTATTGAATCATGCAAATAACTCTCCAAGTGAAACATTTCAGCAAAGGTAGCGTATGGCATTGTAAACGATTGTCATAGATTCCCTCCCAATTGTTTGTTTTATTCCATTTAGTTAAGAAAACAAAATTTAAACAATACGTAGGTTTTTATTTGATAAAATAACAATTTGATATGTATATTTTAGCTATTTCTTCTGAACGGTGCATCTTTTGCTGATTCATAGTGTTTTTCACGAAATGCCCAACAATCATAAGATTGTTGTTGTTAGCCTCTAACTTCCCACTGTTGTGTACAGGTCTCCCCGGATGCTATCCCTTCCTTCCCTCCGTTGTTGTAGTTGTTGTCTGGTAGTGGCCTCAGAAATTCTTTGATCTCGCTGCTGCCATCTTTTGCCTCTGTTTTCCTTCCAATGTTTTTCTCTCGGTATGCAGTCCGAAGTTAATTTTGGCTATGGAGATTGATATGACGCTTTAAATATTTATGTCACTTTTCACCGGCTACACGTTATTGTTTTTTTCTTCCCTTGGACGTTTTTGTTAAAACGACCTACGCAGATTTCCGCGTGCGTGAGTTAAAGTACCCCTCGGGGTGGTTGCAGTCGGCTTTTAGAAGGAGCGCTTTAAAAAAAAATAAGAAAAACTCCCGTTGTTTAAAGGTCACGCTCGCTTACAAAATGCCAGCGCGCTGGTGCTGAGGAGTGCGGATTAATGTTTAGCAAGTTGATGGGTTTCTGTTAGCGTTAATGGGAATCACACGAGCGCTCGGCACCATTATTGCAAGTGGATCATTTACTGAACTCCAATTTCCTGGTATGATTCCTAAGGGCAGTGTTGGGCAACATCATCGTCATCCAATCACTGCATTGCAGGCACAACCATTTTGTCAGTCCACTGCTGAATGGAGCACTGCCCGAACTGTGCAGGTCATGGAGCTTATTTGACCATACTTCACCATCCTGATGAGTGCAGATTGGTGAAGGCGGAGAGCACTCTTCTCTGCCAACCACCACGGTAGCAAATACAAAATGAGCATTTTAGCGGAGAGCAACATTCATAATCGAATGCGTTACATAATATAGTCGTGCCATTTATTTAACAATGTAAATTATTTACCCAGGAAAGCCTCGCACAGTCTCGAGACACTTCTTCAGGGATCTTTGGTCCATTGCGTTTGTGAGTGGCACGTGGAGAAAACCAGGGAACCCGTAAAACCTCCACACATACGGGGAGTAACACCCAACACTGACATCTCCTAGCCATCTCGTGGCCCTGGGCCTACCTCACCTGGCAAGCCGATATATTGTCCTTGCTAGATTCTGAGCATATGGTGGAGGGATTGACATAAAATAGCTAAATATGTTTTTCAAGCAGGGCTATAAAAATTACCGATTGCAGATTATTGGTTCATTCACTCAGATATGTTTTAGCACCTCTGTCCTCACGTGTGCCACTGGAAGGGAAGTGATGGGCAGGGCTTGGTGATATGAATATCACCGTTCTCGTCACGCTGGGCATGTCTTTGAGGGAGTTTCGTGCCTTTGTGAGGAAGAGTGTTGGGGTGGCCACCTTTTTCAAGAGGCCCCAGTAATCTACCACAAAAAAATAAAGTAGACTATTAAAATGTTGAGTCCATGCAAATCACTTAATCGAATAATTACCGCAGCTCCAAAGATGTTGTTGATGGCCGTAGCCTTTGCTGAGCTCATCTAAGAGGTATGCGTTTCCAAAGCAATTGCTCACAACACACTAGCAAGTGCCTTAAAAGGGCGACCATGTGAAGAATGATCAAAAACACCCATTGGAAGGCCTTTATCTAGGAGTGTATTGACAAAAGGGCTGAGAATTATTATTATTCTTCGTGTATGATGTGCATGGTTTTTAATACAATTTGACCCTGACTTTTGATAGTGCATGGTGTGCAGGCCCAGTCATGTTTCTCATCTTTAATATAAAAAAAAATAATTGTTTTTATAATTTTTGCTTTGTCCATTCACTTTAATAGAACTCTAGCGTAACATTTTCATATAATGTTCATAAATGGTAAATAAAGCAACACATGTTTACGTGCATTGTTCAATGCCTACATTGTGAGTGTATAAATACACTTACATTCTATTAATTGTTAAATTTTTAAAAAAGTTCTACCTACGTGACTTTACCGAAAAAACCAAATAGTATGAATTCCTGCAGTCACGAAAGCCTCAAATCAAGATTACACTTCCATTGCCGAATCGATGCGTTGGTTCACACCTAATTGTCATGGTAAGAGTAATGGTAAACGTACACGAGAGTGTTTTAACTCTGCTCGATTGCTTGCCTAGCCTTGTTGCTACGCCGTGTGCATGATTGCAATATTGACAGGGGAGCCTTTCAGCAGAATGTATGCCTACGAGCGGGTAAACCTTAAAAAATCTTTAATAATATATATATTACTTCACTCGTGCTGTTTGGTCCTGGCCGCTTGGCAATTTGAGTCTGTGCTCGGCAGCTTTGGTTTGAATTAAATAAAAAATCTGAACTCTGAGGCATTGAAGGTGAGATCTAGGGCTGTCTGCTTGAAAGCAAGGCGGCTTCGCTTGAAGCGGATCGTAGATATCACTTGACATTTCACTTTTTAAAGAAAGTTACAAAAAAATTATAACATGTACTTTTCTATATATATTGTGTCATTCATGCTAATTTTATCTCAAAATGCTTAACATTTTGATCCACCATACAAACATCTTAAAATAGAAAAATAACTTCATAAAAAAGGTAAAATAACACCACGGATAAACAACATCAACCACTCGAGCACCCGACATCCAAGAAAGTCCAGGCAAAAACCATCGCATGTATTAGATTTCGTAGAGCATTGTGCATGCAAATAGCAACCCAACACACTGAACGTCATGAAACCCTTGCACATATCAGTGTCCATCCACCAAAGTCGAACGTCCTTCAAGTGGCAAGCACATCCTCGGCGCTCGCAGGTGGCTTGCTGCAAGATCTCACACGGTGCAGGGGCCTTCTTTGGGCAGTGGGCAGACCGAGATGAGTCGCACGGTCGGCCTCTCATAGCCACAGTAGTCGTAGCTCTCTGGCTGTATGGAGCACCGCCACGTGGCCAGGTTGGATCGTAACCTGTCAACTTGTGTGCGAAGTCGGTTCAGAGTTTTTCAAGGGGGTCCACCCCGTGATTCTTCCCGTGGAGGGTTGTTCACTCGGCCTTGTTGCCCACGCTGATCGCGGCTGTTAACAAGAACGTTCTAAAGTGTGATTTGAGTGTTGAAATGGAGATGATCAGACGACGTACGTGCAATGGGAGTGCATTTCCATGCAGAGGAAGCCGCAATAGAGAAAGCACACCGGCGAAAGGTCGCTCACTTCATCTTTGGTGTGACTTGCAACTCACGACGAGATGAGCAAAGGAGACTAGTTGGGGTATTCAGAGAAATTGGAGGTGGATATTCTTTGAAAGGCGGTGCAATTATGACTTGCATATAAAGAGACTAGCAAGGGAGAAACTCACACGTGAAGCATCATTCATTGTGTCATTTATAACCTGTATCAATTTCTTCTCATACATCGCTATTCAGGTGCATACTTACAATTACGGTGGTGACAGACGTTGATGATTCATATAATACTGATAACATTGGAAAGGTTCATTCAGATAGCGATGCAACATCTGTCATAACATAGTGTGCTCGACATGGAACGTGTTCATAACCAATGATAAAAGTATAACTGTCGCATTAACTTACACACCGAATTTCAATGTGATCTTTTTTTTTGCATGTCAGGTTCGCACCCTGTTCGTGAGTGGGCTGCCTATGGACATTAAGCCCAGGGAACTCTATCTCCTCTTCCGACCTTTCAAGGTAAAGGACTTCTCAAAATTATCTTGTGCTGTTACCATGGTGTAACAGGAAGAGATGGGTGCTTCACTGATCGCTACACATCAAAACTATGAATTCTATGAATAGCCCTGGACTGAACCTACACATCATCTTGCATGATGTGGTTGGGTAGCGCTGATGGTTGTCGAGAGCTCTTGACTCACAATGCTAAGGTTGTGTATTCAAACCTAGGGCGAGGGTTGGCTACGCCAATTCTAAGTCCAGCGCCGCAGTGGCGAGATGTTAACTACCTCGCATGGGAAGCAGGAGGTCGTGGGTTCCATCCTGACCCCTGACACCTGTATATTTGGAGTTTGCATGTTCTCCCCGTGGTTGCATGTATTTTTCTCGGGGTCCTCCGGTTTTTCCCTCTACATTTAGAAGCGTGCGTTGAGAGTATTTGGTTGCAATACATTTCCACGTGATAAGCCACTTCGTTTGAGAATCATTTGTGGCCAGGTCGCTTCTGAAAAAGAGCTATATAGCTCAGTGGGCCCTGGTAAAATATTTCATTTAGATGCCCCATTATCGGAATTCTTGGATTAAGCTGTCTGCATCCCTGCCATGATAATGTGGAATTTCCACTACTGTCAAAGGGTAGCAACAATAGAGCTAGTGTCTCCCAAGTGCACGTTTTTGGATGGAGACATTGACTCGTTGAAATGGTGAAAGGAATTTTGATAAATCAGCAAGTGGCCCCATAATATACAGCCTTAACTTTTGTGCTTACACTCGCTTTGGCTGGACTTGGCACTGAGAATAAGAGGCATCTAGGATGGAGGGAAACTGCATTCTGCAGATTCCACCTGAAGACGGAAGCTTGTGTTGCCTCCGAAACGTCGTGATTTTTATTTATTATAACTTTTATAAATTTTAATTTTTTACCTACGTGACTTTACCGAAAAAAACCTAAGAATATGCATTCTGCAGCTTAAATAATTTTCTCTGCATTCGACTGAGTCACCGATTATATCCTGTGGTATTTTTGTCCAAGGCTTTTTGACCATTGAGCAGGAGCTCTTGGGTTGCTGCCCCCTCCCATCCCTATATATTTTGTCTTTACCCCAGGCGCCAGTTTCACTTGAAATGGAGCAAATAATTGAATAATAATTCAACATGTACTGGTATTGTTGTACGACATCACTCTTTCTTCAGGTCTTTGCATGTCTCTCTGCCTCACTCCAGCTTCGTGTCTCATGTCTCTGACTCTCTGTGCCTCTCGTATTCATTACTTTGTCTCTCCCCACGTCGGTTTCACCTCCATATCAGGGTTGCCAATTTTTTTCACAAACCAAACGCGGACACAATTCTCAGTCGGTCTATAAAAAGAACCAATGCGCTACACTGCAATAAAGTTCAACACAATAGCGCCACCAGATCTCGGTACGAATCAATTCCTGCAGATGCCAATTTCCAGACTGTCCCAAGTAAAACCCAGACAGGTGACAACCCCATTCCGCATCACAGTGTTTGTCCCTCGCTATATATATGTATCCTACTTTCTCAATGTGTCTGTGTGAATGTATGCATTCCTTGCGGTGGTGTAGCGGTTAGCACACTGCGCTATGAACCCAGCGACCCGAGTTCGATTCCCGCTCGCGGCTAACACCAGTGACAATTATCTGAACCAATCCTGGGCCTCCCCTAGGTCGACTCAGTTTCAAATGAGTACCTGGTGCGGTGTGTTAACATCGCCACTGGAGAGACAAAGGCGGTCGTGTGTGGTGCTGGCCACCCACCCTCTCGTATACCGTGCCAGCCTTCATAGGTGCTCGCGCACGGCACTTGCCCCAACAGTCTGTTGCAGGCTAGAAGGGGGATCTTTGTCTTATTTCTTCTTGTCTGTTTCCCTCCTGTTTTTGCTGCTCGCCTGGTCTCTCTGTGCTTGTGTCTCTTTGTCTCTTCCTCGTTGTGTATTCTGTCTCGGTGTGTCTCCTTCTCTGTGTCTCTTGAGCAGTGACCCCCCCACACACCTTATCCGCTGCCCCACCCACTTTCGCTTTTTGCCTCTCCCACCACTCCCCCTGGGCTGCATCCGCCAAAAGTGATTTCACTCCACCACCTATGACAGGAAGTGCGCTTTGTTGTGAGTGCCAGTGATGGAAACACATTACACTCTGCAAATGTCACAAGCGGCACCGACAGAGGAGATGTTATTGTTTTTCTATCGTAATAAGGTGTAAAGTAAAAGAGAAGCTACCTTTTTAATTTAATAAAATATAAATAATAATGCCACTCTTGCAGCGACCGGGTTTATGTTCTACAATGCTATCTCCAGCGATTAAAGCGGTGCAACTGATGGTTTAGAAATAATCCATGTGTTGTATTTGAGTCGTTTTGCCTTCCACTTGTATTCCACATCATTTTGTTGCAGTATCCATTACCAATTGGGTAATCTAATACTGTATTTCTAGTGGTGTACCAGCACTAACTGCTAGACTATCTGATCATGTTCAATACAAGTGATGTGTTCACTATGAGATCTCTTTTACCAGTGGCAAAATATAGTAGTAGGTTTTTATCCTTTTAAACTGGTAAAAAACTGACACCTTTATTCAAGGCATCATGTTTGCAATAACCACAACACAAGTAGTCAAAAAAGCAAACAAAAAGAAGCAACTCTGATAATGATAATAATATGCACTGTCCTTGAAGTTGATTGGTCCACACCCGAGACGGCTTTCTTTAGAGCCTAGTCCCCATTGGTGTTGGACCAAGTGATGTGTTGTTTGAAAAGGTCCTATGTACACTCATCGACAAACCCAAAGCCTTCCAGTGAGGTCCAACATGGAATAAACCAGTATTTTATGGGTCTATAAAGATAGGGGGCACAGAGAGTTAGGTGAAAAAAAGCCTTTGACACTGTCCACATTTCCTCCACCCATGCTGTTTATTCTGAGACGCCTCTCATGCTGTCGATTCTTTGTTAACTCTGTCTCAGGCACCACAGCCTCTTTCCTCCTCGTGCTATTTTTGGTCCAACTCGCAGAGCGATTGAATATTTATGAGGTATTGTATGGTACTGTGCTCCAAAGATTGAAGTGTATATTGCCGAGTTATATTATTATTGTTGTGTTCAATATGTCACCTGTTTTTAGATGCATTGTGTTTTGATTTGTCGTGGTCTTTAATAGAACATCTTCAGTGTGTTACCTTTTCTGCTTTTCCTTTTGTACATATTACTCTGATGTCCGTGTTAAGAATTAAAACCACCTGGCTAACACTTTTTGCAAATTAAATGATAATCTTAAGAGACAATATTGGAGAAACGTATAATTGTAAACGGTTAGTGTAGCACACCTTTGCACTTGTCAGGAATTGATGATGTCTAATTAAGTTAAAGTTTCGTCATTACCTGTAGCTATACCCCCTCAGCTCTTCCACAATCAACAGCCGGTCTCCAAGGCCTGCTCAACCACTTGGTTGTACTACTCCATTGTGTGTCTTGTGGACCCCTTTCCCACTGGCACATCGAGATACGCCAGCACACGCAGAGCCCTCGTGGTACGATTGTGTTTCTCGCCCCTTCACCGTTGGCTATTTGCCATCCCAACCCAGAATCAAATCGTGAATCTCTCACTGAGCATCACAAGACATCTGAATGTGGCTCAAGGCCAAGCAGAAGCAGGACTAGGGGGCCGGGTAGCGGCACCAGCTCTGGTTTAGGAGTGGGGAAAAACAAATCTTGTGCCTAAATTTCGATTTAAAGCTTTCGTGACTGCAGGGATTCATCTTCTTGGTTCTTTCGGTAAAGCCACGTAGAAGGGAAATAAAAAAAAGCAATAAAAGAATGTTTTATTTTTATTATTTTATTATTTCCCTTCTACGTGACTTAATAAAAGAATACAAATAAAGCAATAAAATAATGTACAAAATTTTAATTTTATTATTTCCCTTCTACGTGACTTTACCGAAAGAACCAAGAAGATAAATCTTGTGCCTCCCCATCCTTGGCTCGGCATCAGCCCAGGCATAGCTCGGTTGTGCGATAGAAAGCGGTATCAATTGATCAATTGATCCACTGCCTTGCTCCATCCTGCACACGGTGCCGCACCCACCCCAAATTGCACCTCCTGTTTATGTCCACAGTGCTCCGGTTGCCACTTTTCTCTTCTGAACTTCCAAGTTGATATATTGTTTTGCTCTGTTCTGCCATTAAATATCATAGGATCCATAATTAATACACTGTGGTATAATCAGGGCCGGATTAAGGCACGGGGGCTTTGGGGGGCTGCAGCCCAGGGGCCTCCGCCAGCTGGAAGGGGCCTCCAGAGATGAAGTGAAAAGTTATTTCACTCGTGAATGCCGAATTTTATTTGTTGTTAGCCTTGTAAAAATAAATTCATTTTTTCTTCAACTTTGTTTTCCTTTTCGATTTAAAGCTTTCGTGACTGCAGGGATTCATCTTCTTGGTTCTTTCGGTAAAGTCACATAGAAGGGAAATTATAAAATAATAAAAATAAACATAATAAAATAATTCTCACGACGTTTCAGCCACAACGCAAGCAGCCGTCCTCAGGTGAAGACCAGGACCGAAAGAACCAAGAAGATTTGTTTTCCTTTTGAAAATATTACTGGGGTGCCTCACAGTACCTGTTGCCCAGGGGCCTACACAATCGTAATCCGGCCCTGGGTATAATTGAGTAAGCTTGTTTATAGAATCTTAATTATGGAGCTTTCGTGACTGCATGAATTATTCTTTGGTTCTTTCGGTTAAGTCACGTCTAAAGATAAAATAATAAATGTATTAATAAATTTATTATTTTATCTTTAGACGTGACTATTTTATCTTTAGACGTGACTTAACCGAAAGAACCAAAGAATAATTGTTTATAGAAGCTAAAGCTGTTACGTGATTTAGCGCTCACGAGGAAAGTCCCCTCCCCCAATTCTGAGAGCACCACATTTTGAGTAGTAATCATAATGTCCACTAATGCTCAACCACTTGTAAGACATTCACTGATGGCAACACAAACGCTCAT